GCTAAGTTTCTCTTTATGATTGGTGTCCTATAATACTATTCAAGAAGTCTTTGCTTTTTCCAAGTCATGAATTAATGCTACTATATTTTCTTTTAAAATATTTGCTGTTTTATCTTTCACATGTTTTTACATATAGTCCATTTGGAATTGATTTTTATGTATGGTGATAGGTAGGTTTCAAGATATACTTTCCACATGTGTATTGGAAATAACTTACAATTTATTGAAAAGTATTTCTTTTTCCTGCTGTATGGCATTGTCATAAATCTTAGTTGCACTAATGTAAAATCTAACTAGTCTCTTGGTCAGCAAACAGTCTGGCCTATTCACAGCTGGACAGTCTTTGCTAGCATAAACCTTTGTATTCAAACAGGAGGAATTTAATTTTTCCACTTCTTCCAGTTTGTCTTAAGTTTTTTTTAATTTAATTTATTTTATGTTTGGTGAAGGTGGAAGTAATTAGGTTTATTTTTTTTTTAGAGGAGGTGCTAGGGATTGAACTCAGGATCTCATGCATGCTAAGCATGTGCTCTACCACTGAGCTGTACCTTCCCCCCAAAGCTTAAGTTTTTAAAATACATTTATTGAATTATAATTTGAATGCCGTAGAGCCCATTAATTGTAAATGGACAATTCAGTAATTTTTAGTAAATTCACAATTGTATAACTATCACCACAATTCAGTATTAGACCACTTCTGTCCCTTGTCCCTATTTTCAGTCACTGTGTTCACAGCCCCAGTCCTACCCAGCCGCTAGTCTTTTTCTGTCTCTGTAAGTTGTATTTTCTGGTTTTTAATAATACTGAGGCTTCCAATCAGCAGATATAGACTGTTTCGCCACTTGCTTAGGTCCTTTAAAATTTGCATCAGCAGTGTTTTATAGTCTTCTGGGTTCACATTTTATACTTCTCTTGTTAAATGTATCCCCATATATTTTATTATTTTGATACTATAATGGATGAAATTAATTTCTTAGTTTTTAGGATTTTTTTTGTTGGTAGCATATAGAAATATAACTGACTTTTATATGTTGATCTTGTAACTGATTTTTGGTGAGCTCATTCATTAGTTGTAATAGTTTGTAGTGTGTGTGGGTGTGTGTGTTCCTTAGGATTTTCTACATACAGGCTATGTCACCTACAAAGGAAAACAACTTGATTTCTTCATGTCCAGTCTTGAGTTCCAGGAACTCAAAGTTGGTCTAACATTCAAAAGTTCATCCGTGGAATATTGTTCATTCTTGAAAAGAAGGAAGTCCTGGCACTTGCTACAACATGGATGAACCTTGACACATTGTAGTAAGTGACATAAGCTAGACACAGAAAGACAAATACTGTATGATTCCACTTATATTGACTCAGAGTAGTCAAAATTGCAGAGACAACGTAGAACAGTGGTTCCCAGGAGCTGGGTGGGTGGGGACAGGGAATGGGGAGTTACTGCTCAGGGGGTGCGGAGTTTCAGTTTTACGATGAAGAGTTCTGGAGGTGGATGGTGGTAATGGTTGCACAATGTGAAAGTGCTTAATGCCACTGAACTGAACACTGAAAAATAGCTAAGGCAGCGAAATTTATGTTACGTATACTTTACCACCATAAGAAATTAGAAAAAAGTAAATAGGTAAATTTCAACAGATTTACAGAATAAAGAAATAAACTGTATGATCATCTCAACAGATGCAAAACATTGATGAAATGCAATTGGACCATGTTAAGTTTTGTTGTTGTTCTTGTTAGCAAACTAGCAAAAAAAGAAGCTTCCTTAATTTGATACAGTTTATCTGAAAAAATCCTAAAGCTAACATATTTCTTAATGGTTGTTAGTTGAAAGTGTCCCCTTGAAATTAGAGGGAGACAGAAATGTCCACTGTCGTGATTTCTGCTGTGTCTTGACTGAGCGATCTGCTGAGGTTGGCAGTAGTGCAGGAGAGAGGAAGGGCAGGCGTGACCGTGGGAGACAAGGCACAAAGCTCTTCATTTGCTGGTGGCCTGACTGTGCACGCAGGAAACTTTAAAAATCATAAAGAAAGTGCCATACCTAAGTGAGCTCGGCAAGGTCAGCAGGTGTCAGGTCAGTATACGAGCGTCTGCTGCTTCTATGTTCTACAACAATCATAAAACAGAGTTTAAAAAATATAATTTACAATAACATCAAAACCAACAAATACCCAGAAAAAATATAACAAAACATATTGAAGACCTTAAACTGAAGACTATAAAATTAGAGAAATTAAAGACCTAATAAGTGTGTGTGTGTGTGTGAAACCATGTTCATGAACTAGAAGACTCAGCAGCATAGAGATGTTTGTTTTCCCCGAGCGACCTGTAGATTCAATGGAACCCCAATCAGAAGCGTGGGAGGATTTTTTGAGGGGGAGGAACTGACGAAGTGATTCTGAAATTTACTCGGATACATAAGTGATTCAGGAAAAGCCAAGACCACTTCCATCAAGAAAAGCAAAACCGGAGGACATATGCTCCGTCCCTGAAGGCTACCTTGGAGGTATATCTGCAGTGATTAGGACAGCGTGGTGTTGGGACAAGGCAGATGAATAGACCAGTGTAACCGACCAGTCTAGAAACAGATCCATGGCCTGAGCAATCAGCATCCTTATGAAAAGAAACTGTACCTTGACTCCTGCCTCACAGCCACACAGAAGTTAGTTTGAGACGTATCATGTGATACATGAAAGGTAAAAAAATAATAGCACGTTGGAGTGTATCTTCATGACCACAAGGAAGGCAAAGATCTTAAACGGTTCACTTGAAGCACTAATCATGATAGTTGATAAACTGCTTTTTTGACATCGAGAACTCTGTTGATCAGCAAACACTACAAACAGAATGAAAAGACAACCCACAGACGGGAAGACAGACTTCGCATATCCAGCGAAGCCTTGTGTCTAGAACGTGTAAGGAACCCCCGTAAATGAGCAAGAGAAACCACCTCACTGAAAATGTCTGAAGACCTAAACCGGCACCTCCCCAAAGAAGAGAGCGCGTGGCCAGTGAGCACACCAGGGGGCACTCAGCATCACTGACCAGAGAAGCCGGATTCAATCCCCGGACCCCGCCGCACGCCCGCCGGAGCGGCTGAGGGTCTGCCGGCTCGTGAGCTGCCGGGCTCCCGTCCGTGGCTGGCGGGGTGGAAGCTGGTGCCGCCGGCTCAGACAAGCCCCCAGTCTCTTGTAACGTAGGCGCCTGCGTGCCTGTGCCCCAGCTCTGCCGCGCCGAGGCGTTTACTGCGGAGACAGGACACAGGTCTTCAGAGAGACGTCATTCCTAACCTGGACGCACCAGCGGTGTGAGGAGGAGCTGCCACGTCTGCAGCGCCACCCGTGGCTGTCGTGGTTCCACCGGGGAGCTAGCCACTGGTGTGACGTCCAAGGTCAGGAGGCGTCCCTGCTCGGGAGCAGGCAGGGGTCTGGAGGACGTGGTCTCCAGGACACCCTTTGGAGGGGCTGGAAGTGTCTGTGTCCCGACCTGGGTGGCCCCTGATGAGAATGGTCAAATCTTGAGGAGGGCGCTGTGCCGAAGTCCCAGGAGTGGCCACAGGGTGGCAGCAGTGACCCCGCCTAGGGACCGGGGACGTTCAGTTCAGTCTGCGCTCTTCCTTCCTAGTTGAGTGAGGCCCACGGGGTCCCCACGCGAGGCGTGCGTCATCAGGGCCAGCGGGGCGCTTTCCTATCAGCACCGGCAGGGACAGTGCTTGTTCTCTGCTGATGACGTGGTGTCGGGGACCCGGAACTTGGCCAGGCTGGGCTGGCGAACAGCTCCCCCGTCCTCCATCCCCTCCTCCCCGGGACAGGACACCATGATCCTGCCCAGGTGCTGGGGGGCCGGGTGCTCGGATGCTCTGGGGAGAGACCGTGGGGACCCCTCCCTGCAGCAGGACCAACTGCCTGTCTTCCCTCTGAGCCCAAGTCGAAACTGCACCGATGTCCACCCGTCACCACACACCTGCTGGTCTCCCTGGCAGCTTTGACCCCGGCCAGCGTGGTGGACGCTCCCGGGGACCTGCCCTATTTCACACGGCACCCGGGGACGTCTCTGCTGCCAGACGAGAGGGTAACAGACAGCACGGGACTTGCTGTTTCCACCACGTCCTGGCTTCACCCTGGGGTTAGACAGTGTGCACCACAAAAGTGGGCCTGGCGGCTTTGGGGGCCCCCTTACGTGTCCAGTTAGGAACAGGAAGGAGGCCTGTCTGACCTGGCACCCGAGTTCCCTGCACCATCGGGGGCTCCGGCTTTCCTGTGCCCCAAACACAGCTCCATGTGTGGGGGGCCTCTCGCAGGCCATCAGGGACACTACCACACTTCACCTTGCCCCTCCCTGTGGCCTCCCATCCTCAGCAGGCGTGGGTGGGACACTGCGCACAGACGACTGTGTCCCAGGAAGCTTTGCTCCACGTCCGGGCCATCATGTGGGCTGCGGCAGGTGGCCTTGGAGCCCAGCACAGCCTCCTCTGCTGCAGTCCGCCCTTGTGGAGGGGTGTGATGCGGCCTGGGAGCGAGTTTCTCCATCCCAGGTGCCAGTAAAGCACCACTGAGCTCTAAACCCACCCAAACAGTTGGGCTGCCCGCCTGCCCTATTCCTCAGAGTTCTGGTGGCCTCTTCAGCTGGCCCCACTGCTGCCAGGGCTGTGGCTCCAGCCCATCTGATGGACAGTCGAGCCCACAGGACACTAAGCTGGCATCCAGCCACGACGGCTGCAGGACCCTGCTGGCATGGGCACGTCGGCTGCCCACACGGGCCTGCAGGGCCACCCTGACCTGGGGCCCCGGCACCAGGACCCCGGGCTCTGCCTCTCTGTGACTTCACTGGGCCCCAGGCACGGTGGCCAGGGGTGCACACACAGCCGACCCTCAAATCGGGGTCTGCACGTCTCCTCGAGGTCACACTCCGGGCGCCCCTTGGGAGGGAGGAGGGCGTTCTCGGGCTGCCCCTCGCCCTTGTCTCCGGGGACCCTCACGGGCTTCCTGCATCCTGCTTTGCAGTGGCAACGCTTTCATCTCCAATTCGAGAAACCACTTTTCGCAGTGCCAGGCTCTGCTGAATAAAATCACCGCTGTGAACCCGCAGACAGAGATTGACGGGCTTCGGAACATCTGGATCATAAAGCCGGCGGCCAAGTCCCGGGGCCGAGGTAAGGCCCAAGCGCGTCCGGGTGCCAGCGCCCAGCAGACAGCAGCCGCAGGAGCAGAGGGGCTGGACCAGCCTCCTGGGGCTCGGGACGCGTGGGTCCCCGGGGAACGGGTGTACCAGCAGCACTGGCCCCTGAGGCTTGTGTCCGCGGGCTTGCTGACCAGTGAGTGAGTTCCAGCTGTATGCCTAGTTAGACTGGCCTGCAGGGTTCCCCGGACGTGGCCTCGACCGCGAGCTGCTACGGTGGAGGGCGGACTGTGGTCTCGGCCGCGGGGGACCCTGCATCCTGGGTGTACGTGAGCCCCGGGCCCCTGGGAGGCGTGGCCCAGCACCCTGTGGGCTGTGTCCGCGGTGACCACGTCCTCAGTGAACACTGTTTTTTAAAACACAGGGCTTCAAGGTGATGTTCTAATCTCATAAGCGCTTCTGAACAACTAAGTCTGGGTTCTTCAGTTTTGCTGTGAGGGAACCTCCCCCCGGCTCTGACTTACGAGCTAAGCTCATTTATTTCCAAACGTCCTCATGCAGCAGTGGAAGCTGCCAGGCTGTGGAAACGTGCTCCCAGTGCGGCCTTGCCTGTGTCCTCTTGTTGCGTGTGTTCTCTTTTTCCCGAGGCTCCAAGTGGACTTTACTTTTCGCTCCGTTTGCCTCTTGAGTTATTCAAGTTTTACTGTTGTTCTTGTAAATTCCTAAGTGGTTCTTTTATGTGATTTTAAAAAAATCCTTGTGAACTTGCCTCTGGTCCTAAACATCTCCTGTCCTGAAACATTGTCTTTCCTGGCTGATGCCCTCTTTCAGCGTGCACCCTTCTGGGCCGGGCTGGTGCCCCTTCCTGGGCTCTGTCCCCGCCCAGACCTTCCTCCCACAGGACACTGGGGACGCTCCACAGACTCCTCAACCCCCCTGTGCAAAACCCAATGCACTGCATCCTGGCTGGTCACTGCCGTGCCCTGCCAGTGCCCCCGGCCCTGTGTCCCAGGGCTGTGCTGCCCTGTGGCCCCGTCTCCTCTTGGCCCAGGACAACTTTCGCAGTCCGTTGCTTTGTCTGAGACTTTGGTTTCAGGATGATGAGGTCCCAACTCACTGTCGCTGAAGAAACTGGTCTTGCGTTTTGTGAGGAAAGCTCCCTTGCGCCGTGTGCTGCCTCTGCCTCTGGCCTCTGCAGGTGGTGCCCCCACCCCGTGTGGGTCAGGACAGCCAGACTGCCCTGCATCGCGGGGGCTCCCGCCAAGGCCAGTGCATGTCTCCACGCTCGTTGTCCATTGCAGGTCGCCCACTAGTTGCCTGTCCCCTGCTCCCCTGCTCCCCCCACGCCCACAGCTCGCTGACTGCCTCTTAGCAATGCCTCTGTCCCCATCCCCGGCCCTCCCCATTCTGGCTGAAGCCCTGGGGGCTGGCCTCGTGGCTTTCTTGCCCCCCCCGACGCCGTGCCTCCCAGTCCCAGACAGCAGCCATTTCGGGGCTCGGGGCTGAGCAGTGGCCTCTTGCAGATATAATGTGCATGAACCACGTGGAGGAGATCCTGGAGCTGGTGGCCGCAGACCACCTCCCTGCCAAGGACAAGTGGGTGGTGCAGAAGTACATCGAGACGCCGCTGCTCATCTACGACACCAAGTTCGACATTAGGCAGTGGTTCCTTGTCACCGACTGGAACCCCCTGACCATCTGGTTCTACAAGGAGAGTTACCTGCGGTTCTCCACGCGGCGCTTCTCCCTGGACAATCTGGACAGGTCAGTGGGGGTCAGCTGGGCACCACGGGGCTCCAGGGCATGTGGCGGGCTCCCTGGCGCACCTGGAGCACGGGGCGGGTCTCGTGTGGCCGGTGGGGCGCCGGGTCAGGGTCGCTGTCACCCGCCACCGTGTGAGGCACAGACGAGGAAACTGCGGCTCAGGTTACATGACCTCCTCGGCCAGGGGCAGGCCCGGGCCCCTTCCCCATCAAAGCCAGTGCTCTGCACCCCCACAGGGTGTGTACTGTCTCCAGAAAAGCCTAAAAGCACTGTATGCCACGTGCTGGTGAAGCACCAGGCCAGGCCCTGGTGTGACAGGTCTCAACCACTGATCAGACCCTTTTGTGGTGGGTGCCACCAGCCCTGTGCCAGGGAGGCTGAGTGGCCCAGCTCGGGGTGCCTGCTCTGCCCGCCATGCTGGCCTGCTCTCTCTGTCCGCTCGGCACATGGAGGGAGCCGGACAGGCTAGGGCACCTTTGGGAGGCCCCATGGACCCTGGCCTGTGCCAGCCCCTCAAAGCCCTCAGTAGCCCCTGCAGGGCCTTCTCTGTGTGAGCCCAGAGGCACCAGGGTGGGGAAGGCTGCAGGAGGGGAAGGCTGCTTGAGCTTCTAGGGGGGTGGGGGTGCAGCCCCCGACGAGGCAGGCTGTGGGATGTGGGACAGGCTTGAGGGGTCCTGAGGACGACCCCAGCCACGCCAGCCAGGATCAGAGGGCAGAAGGCACTGGAGCCAGGAGAGGCCAGGGCAGTGCGGGCAGCACCCATCCCAAGGCCCTGGGCCTGGGGGCCGGGGTGCAGGGGACACTGCTGTGTGGGGTGGGGAGTGCTGGGCAGGGGGAGACTTACAAGAATGGGTGCCCTGTTGTGGATGAACCTGCACCCCACCAGGTTCCCAGATTGGGCAGGGCATGTGTGTGGTGGGAACAGGAGCCCACCAGCCACCTCTCTGTCCAAATGGAGCGCTTCTGTGATCACATGGTGTGCAGGACCGGGTGCCTGGGCGAGGGGGGTCAGTCAGAACCAAGAGGGCTGAAGGTTGCTTAACAGAGACCTTGAGGGGGTTAGCTGTGCTCAGGTAAGGGGCTGTGACCACACCTGGAATCATGCCTGGCAGGAGCAGGAGCTGGGCCAAGGGGTCCTGGCCGGCAGCTCAAGGAGCACATTTGTCCCCACCAGGCCAGGAGGGCCTGGAGGAGGAGGGGTCCTGGGGCGCCACCTGGGCAGTGAGAAGCCCACGGAGCCCCTCCCAGCCCCCTGGCCCTGCCAAGCCCTGAGCGAGGTGCCTGGTGGGTCGCTAACCCTCTTGGAGCCATTTCTCCATCTGAGACCATAGCCCTCACCCAGGCTGACAGGAGAGTCTCTGAAACTGTTTCTGAACGGGCGAGGCCCGGCCTACAGCATCAGCACTGAGTGTCAGCTCCCCCAGTAGCAGTTACCAGTTTCTGAAGCCCTTCCACACGCCTGCGTCTGTGCCTTTTCTCTGCCCTACGGAGGTGCGACTCACCTGTGGCCACAGGGGCAGGTCCCACGGCCCAGAGCAAGACGGCAGGTCCGCGGGCCCAGTGACACGTCTAAGGGAAAGTGACTTTCACAGGATGTGTGGTGTTTTACAGTCTCCTAGGAGATGGTATTGACTTTAAATCCTGCTTAGAACAAGGCCAGAGCATTAATGAAATAATGAAATTTTCCGTCAGTGACTCTTTCAGACCTTGGGAGGGCTCAGCTCTCCCCTCAGGGGCTCATGCGGAAACAGGTTCGGGAGGTGGTCACTTGCCGAGGCCCCTCGTCCGCGGTCCTGGGCTGGTAGGCTTCTGCCCTGCCCTCTCCTGCCCCCCATGGTGCCTCCCAGGCTGGATGGGAGGGCTGTCCCGAGGTTGCCTCAGAGGTGCCCAGAGTGTCAGAGAGGTCTCGGGGCGGGCTCATCCAGGCTGGGAGGAGTGACAGCTGGCGCACCTGACCCTGGTCTTGCCGCACAGCGCCGTCCACCTGTGCAACAGCTCCATCCAGAAGCACCTCAAAAATGACGAGGGCCGCAGCCCCCTGCTGCCGTGTCACAACACGTGGACCAGCACCCGGTTCCAGGAGTACCTGCAGAAGAGGGGCCGCGGGGCCGTGTGGAGCAGCGTCATCTACCCGTCCATGAAGCGGGCCGTCACCAACACCATGCGGGTGGCCCAGGGCCGCGTGGAGCCGCGCAAGAACAGCTTCGAGCTGTACGGCGCCGACTTCATCCTCGGGCGCGACTTCAAGCCCTGGCTGATCGAGATCAACTCCAGCCCCACCATGCACGCGTCTACGCCCGTCACGGCCCAGCTCTGCGCCCAGGTGCAGGAGGACACCATCAAGGTGGTGGTGGACCGCAGGGTCGACCGAAACTGTGACATTGGCAACTTCGAGCTGCTGTGGAGACAGGTGAGGGTGGCGGGGGCCTGTGCCTCTCCCGCCGGCCACTTCATGGTGGGCTCACTTCCAACACCCCAGAGGTCTTCTCCAGCCCAGCTGGCCTTGGTGTCCAGCCTTCCAGCCTCTGGTCCCCAGCCATCCCCAACTCTGCGGCCACCAGGCGGGTGGGGAGGCCTCTGGCCTGGGCTGGCAGGATGTTCCCGGCCTCCAGGCCCTTCTAGGCTGTTCCTTTTCTGACCTGCAGTGTCCTCCCTCTTCCTCGGAGGGGTCTTTTCAGGGGCCCACCCCCTGTGGAGCTGTCCTGCAGGCCAGGCAGCAAGACCCCGCACCCTGGCCTCCCTGGAGCGGGGCCCCAGCAGACAGCCCAGCTGTTGGGAAGTGTGGCGGGCGCTGGTCTTGGAGGCCTTATCTCACCCCCACCTCCACCAGCCTGCTGTGGAGCTGCCCCCGTTCCAGGGCTCTGACCTCTTCGTGGAAGGCGTGGGCGCTAGGAAAGCCAAGAGGCAGATGCCGCCCATCTCCACCTTTGATTCTGCATCTTCGCTCTTGGACATTCAGCCACTGAAGGAGAGGTGCCCCTCGGCTCTGCCAGGCCTGGCTCCAGCACCCCCTTGCACGGCTCTCCAGCCTGACTTGAGAATGAAGGACGAAAAGGTACTTGCTTGCACCTTGCCTCTGCCCTTAAACAGGCCAGCAGGGAGAAGTGCTAAAGTGAACTGCGACCTCTCCGAGCCTGGCAGCAGGATGGAGCTCCCCACCTGTCACCTCCAGCATCTAGGCCACACCGCCCCGAACACTGGGCTCACCAAAGTCGAATCCGACAAACGCTGGGATCCAAACTTATTAAAGGTGCACCCACTGCGGTCCGTGCTGCCGAGCATGAAGACAGTGGAGGGTGCCCAGTGTCTGCCACCCAGGCCATCAGGTAACAGAGCGGGGCTGGTGCCTGTCGGAGCCCCGGGGCTGCTTGGGGCTGCCTGCTCCGTGTCCTCTAGAGGGAGGGTTTGGGGCGCCTGGCCAGGTTGTGGGGATAGCAGGGGGGCCGAGAGCAGCAGTCCCCTCCACAGGACCGGGTGGGAGGCAGTCCTCATCTCCCTCCCTTGTGGGGTGTGGTGCCGGTGGGGGGTTGAGCTTGAGATCTGAATAGCACCAAGTGCCACAGATGGGTGGCTGCCAGTGATCACTGGGCCCTCGTCTTCAGTTTTCTGAAGCTTCTGCTGGAGCTGACCACGTGTGGCCTGGGCGCCTGTCCTGGGCTCGTGCTCGGAGCCCAGGTAGACAGGTGTGGGGCTGCCCCACGTATCTAGGGGTGGCCTGGCTGTGTCTGCCCCTCCGCTCAGTTTCCAGTGGGCCTGGTACCCAGCAATGGCCCAGAGAGTGACACCAGCCAGGGCCACACACCCACCGTGCTCTGCTCCAGGTGCACCCGCCTCCCCAGACACACCGGAATATCTGCCCCTGCTGCTCCCTCCACCCACCTGGTGTCTGTCCGTCTCTCTGTCTCTCTCTTTCTCTTCCTCCCTCCCTCTCCCTGGAACTAACAGCCTCTTTGCCGGTCTGTCTGCTGGTTGTCTGTCTCCCCCTGGATTGTAAGCTCTTGGGGGCAGGTGCTCAGTACATGTTTGCTGGATTGGCACATGCATGGACTGCCCCTCAGAAGAGCCAGCGCCAGGCACCAGGAGCATGTGCCTTCAGAGCTGGCAGGGCCCTCAGAGGACATCTCCAGGCCCGCCCTCCCTCCCCACCCCACGTCCAACCTGGCACCAAGGCCCGTCAGCCCTACTGCATGGCAGCTTGCCTCTCCAGGGGTTTCGATAGTACACCATGTGGCTTCCCACGGGCATATTCCTAGCAACGAGTGTCAACAGCGCGCACCACCTTCAACCTGAGGAGGTGTAGCAGCTGCTGAAACAAAGTACCACAAACTTGGTGACTTAAACCACAGAAGTTTATTCTGAAGGCCAGAAGCCCGAAGGCAAGGTGCTGGCAAGGCCGTGCTCTCGGGCTGCGGGGGAGAATCCTCCGTGTCTCTCCCAGCTCCTGGGGCCGCTGGCAACCCTGGGTATACCTTAGCTCGTAGACGGTCACTCCAGTTTCTGCCCTGCTTCACACGGTGCTCTGTGTGTTGCTGTGCCCAGATTTCCCTCTCAAAAGGACACAGTTGTTGGACTGGGTCCTGCCCTGCAGTGTGACTCATCTGCCTTGATTACATCTACAGGGACTCTGTTTCTGAATAAGATCACATTCATAGATTCCAAGTGGACGTGACCTCGGGGGGGCTGTTAAACCTGGAGCACTGGGTCCTGTGGGAGTGGCCAGACGGACGCGCGTTGGCCAGTCACGCCAGGGGCCGCTGCTCCCGCTGCTGCCGATACTCGGCGTGGACGGAGGCCTTTGTCTCTGGAGAGAGAGAGTGGGGCTCGCTCGCGGTTTCCTGCTTACCAATAAAACGCGTCTTACCTATTTTCAGACGTGTGTTGGCCATTCAGGTCTCCTCTTCTGGGAAGTGTCCACCCAAGTCTTTTATCCATTTGTCCTTAGAATCATGATGAGCTGTAGGGGTGACATCATCTATTCTGGATTCTCCTTTTTCAGTTGATTTGTGTGGCAAACACTGTCCCCCACTTTGTGATGTCTTTTCACTCCTTTATGGTGTCTTTTGATGGAAAGCCACCTTAATTCTAATGGACGCAAACAGGCTAAGCTTCTCTTCTACGGTTGGTGATTTTTGTGGCTTGCGTCCTCAGGCTGAGGTTGTGAGGACCTCTTCTTCTAGAAGCATCATTGTGGCCCATATGAAATTTTTTGCTGCAAGTTGATTTACGTATCAGTGTGGGGAGAACTGACTTCTTTACATTACTGAGTCTTACAATCTATGAACATGGTATATCTCTCCATAGGTAAATCCTTTAATGTCTTTCAACAAACTAGAACTTTCTTTGTAATGGTCTTGCACTTTTTTGTTGGATTTAGTCTTCTATATGTCCTATTTTTTATTCTAATGTAAATAGTATCAAAATTTTAATTGTCTTCTACAAGTTGCAGCTGGTTGATAGAAAGGGAAGTGATTTTTGTGGACTTATTTTTTTAAAAGTCCAGCTGTCTGGCTATCATTTCTATCACTTTTGTTAATATATCTGAAGACTCTTTTGGTTTTTTCACATACACAATTACATCAACTGAGTTTTCCATTTCCTTGCAATCACTATGCTTTTCATACCTTTTCCTTATTTTATTGACTATCCAGGACCTTGTTCATTCATTCATGTTTCTCATCCCATGGAATCTCAGGTGCAAAGATTCTGATTAATCATAACTCTTGGTTCATGACACAGTTTCATGTTTGTTCTGCTGTGGCTGATTTTACTTGGATAGTTTTAGTTGTGTTTTAATTACACAATTATTGATTTTTAATGTGGCCAAAGTTATCATTTTTTTTCTTTTAGTCAATACTGTCTTGTCTTAAAATTTTTCTTACCTGAGGTTTAAAAGATTATTTACCTACATTTGTCACTAAGAGTTTCAAATTTTGTTTTTGACATAGAAGTCCTAATCCATCTGGAGCTGATTTTTGTATACGGTGTGAGGTAAGAGTCAAATTTTGCTTTTGTCCATGAAGATAATTTTTTCAGTTATTTATTGAAAAATGTGTTTCTGTCCCCCGGGATTGATACTCCACCTCTGTCTGTGTGTGGGTCTATTTCTGGAGTCTCTAGTCGATCCTACTGGTGAATCTGCACCCCCGGCACCAGTGCCACTGTCTTCGTGTCTGGTGGGGCAAGATGCCTCTCTCTACTCATCTTCACACGGCTCTTGGTCCTTCCTGGCCTCATTCTCTTCTATTTAAATGTCATAATTGTCTTATCAGGTTCTACCAAAAATCCTATTGAAATTTTGGTTGGATTTGCATTGAATCTATAGATCAATTTGGAGGAAATGGACAAATTAATGAAATCATATCCTTCTATCCATGAACATGACATATCTCTTCATTTACTTAGGTTGCATTTAAATTTTATAGTTTTCCCAGAAGAAATCATCTACATCTTTTGCTAGATTTATTTTTGTTACTTGATACTCAGATACTACTGCACATAGTGTCACCTCTCTCTGTAAATGTTCTCATGGTTTGCTGCTGGCATACAGAATGAAACTGACTTTTATATATCAGTTTTCTAATTGCCACATTTCTAAACTCTCCCATTTTCTAAAAATTTGTACATATCTTCTTTTGAGTTTCTAAATAAAATTACTCTGTGTAAATAATTATATCATGTGCAGGTAGCTTTGTATCTTCCTCTCCAATCTTGTTGTCCCTAATGTCTTGTCTTACTGTACCAGCTAGAACCTCCTGTGTAATGTTTGCACATTATTGAATTCCTGATTTTAAAGGGAATGTTTCTAACATTTCCTCATTTATAGTGACATTTGCTGTAGGTCTTAATAAAGGTATGGATATGACACCTAGATGTAAATGTGTAGCTACTCTAGCATGTTAAAGAGGTTTCTTTCTAATCCTTACCAAGAATTCCTATTGTGAATGTGTAGTGAATTTTCTCAACAACATTTTTGGCATCTATGAGATTATCATGTTTTTTTTTATTTATAACATTAAGGTGGTAAATAACATCAATAGATTTTTCTTTTTCCAAGAAGTTACCCTTAGCACTTAACATCAATCGATTTTTTAATGTTAAACCAACCTTACATTCCTGAAATGCACCTCACTTGGTTGGGTGTTGAGTCAGATGTAAGGCTAGACTTGGTTTCTTGCAGGTATTAAAATTTGTTCTCAACCACCATTTATTTACATGTACTGCTGATAGACATTTACATTGTGATTCAGACTATTACAAATAGTGCTGCTGTGAACACTCTTGATTATGGTGAACATGTATACACTTTTCTGTAGGAATGGAATTGCTGGGTTATGCATTCAGCTTTGGTAGACACTCAAGGAATTTCCCAGTGTGACTGGGCCACTGTACATCCCACCACAGTCTTCCAGTTACTCCACACTCTTGCCAACACTAGAGATTGTCTGTCCTTTTATTTTAGCCATTCTAGTAGATGTATACTGGATTCACAAGATAGATAGCTTGAATTTGCATTTATCTGATGATTGAAGAAATTCAGCACATTTTTACAGTCCATTTGAACATACGCTTGCAAACTACTCTTTTGTATTGGGGCAAATTTTTCTGTTACCTACTCCTGTCGACTTGTAGGAGCTCTCTATATGTTCTGGATACAAATCCTTTGGTGAATATATGTATTAAAAATGTCTTCTTTCCTTCTATGGTTTGCTTTTCACTCTCTTCATAGTATCTTTTGGTGCACATAAATTATTAATTTCAGTATATTCCAATATCAGTTTTTCTCTTATGATTAGCACTTAATGTTTTCTGTTTGCAAAAATCTTTGTGTATCCCAAAGTGAAAATAGTTGCTCCTGTTTTCTTCTTACGGTTGTATTGTTTCAGTTTTCACATTTAGAGCTATATTCTATCTGGAACTGATTTAGTGTGTGGTATAATGTAGGAGTCAAGACTCATTATTTTTTACTTGGATGTTCAACTAATTCAGCATGATATGTTGAAGACACCGTGTTTTCCTAACTGCACCATCTTCATAAAACAGGTGACTGTATATATATTGTTCTGTTTTTGGACTCTATACTGTCCCAGTTGTCAATTTTGCTATCTTTTTTAAGTCTTGTTTCTGTAGCGAAAATGCTACATAACAAAGATACCCACCTCCCCAGTCTCAAAGGTATTTATTCAGCAAGCATTTGTTTCTCACATGTCTTCAGGTCGGCTGTAGCGATGTTGGGTTCCACTGGGGAAGGCTGAGCCAGGCTCCGGGCTGCAGGCTGGGTTTGATCTGCTCCACGTATCTCGTCCACTTGGGACCAGTGGCTCCCCAGGGCGTTGTCTTCAAGCAGCAGATGATATAAACATGAGAGGGCAAGTCAAACCTCGCAGGGATACAAGAGCTTCTGCGCACATCACATCTGGCCGAACTCGTCAGTGGGCGAGGAAGGGTGCTTCTCAGCGGGGGTGGGGGAGGTGGATGGAATATGTTCTGAGCAGTGATCAAATATACAACAGTCCAGTCTCCTGGTCACCAGTATTCACTTACCTTCTGCAAACAAAATACATTTACTTCCCCCAACTCCAAAAGTCTCCCCAGTCAGAGAACCAGGCTCCGAGTCCAGGATCTCATGGTTCTGCTTCATTCCTCTGGATAACTTTGAGCCAAAAAGAGAAGTTGCCCAGTCTGGGATGTGCTTTCCCTTCCCTACAAGTGGTTGGCTTAGCCATGGCTGATGTGTGGATGCTGGCAGAAGACTCGTGACTCCTGGGTGGGAGATGAAGGACTCTGTCACTTGTGTCACAGCAGGCAGCGTGCACATCCATACATTGTGTCAGCCGTGTGGGAAGGACACGATAGGGCCCAGGTGCATGCCACACACGGTGAGTCTGCATCATGGTGAGGAACCCTGAACCTGGGGCATCTGCCACTCTTCTAACAAGCAGTAAGCAAGCCTGCTCTTGTTCTGGAGGGAAACATTACCTCATCCCCCAGGACTGCTCACTGCAAGCGTGATGCTGAGAATGGTGATCAGGACCTGGTTCTTGGCCCACCCAACAAACTATGTAGGCCATTTGGGAGACCCAAGGAGGACCGTCTCTTCCGATAATCCACCCTTCGTCCCACATCCTCTTAGCCCCTGGTGAGTTTTCACCTGCCACCCTGATTGACCTGACCAGCAGAGGTTGGCACCGAATCCATTCATTTTGTCTCATGTGCATTTAAGATGACCATCATCAGCACCAACCTGCGACACGGACCTCAGCCACACATCAGCACCAACCTGCGACACGGACCTCAGCCACATCCCCCCAGGGCCCTGGACTCTGCTGTGCGTCCCAGAGGCATCCTCCCTGCCAACTGCAGGGACGGCTGCCTTCCCCTCCTTACAAGCTGTGGGCCCAGCTTATGGCTGTCACGTGGATGCTGGCAGAAGACCTGTGACTCCAGGGTGGAGATGAAGGACTCCATCACTCGTGGCAGCTGTGAGCATCAGCCAATCTGTGGCCGTGCCGCGGGGTGATGCACTGTGGCCAGATGGGTGGGGCTCATACAGTGGGCCCAAGTCACCGCTGAAGGACACTGAGTTTGGGGGTCCACTGCTTTTTCAGGAAGCAGTAAGAGGCCTGCTCTTTGTCCTGGAAGGAGACATTACCTCACCCTGAGGAGTGGCCAAGGTGCAGGTGGTCAGGGCCTCGCATGGACTGAGTGCACCTGGAAAGAACGTCGGAGGGCACCAGAGACCCAGGGAAGTGTGTCTCCCAACAGGAGTCATCTGCGCACACATGCTCACTGCCTACCCCTACCCCCGCACATACACGGCCCCCACACCGCAGCGGGGAGCAGTGGGGGGTCCACTGCCCCCTGGAGTCCCAGTGGCAAGCCCTGTGCCCCTCCCGGGGGGCTCCCGGCCACGATTGTGCGCCTTAACCCATTTCGCCAGCGAGGCCTGGCTCTGCCCGCGAGAGGGCCTGTTTCGGAGGCTGGCCGTTTCCGGGTTGCTTCGCCTGCGGAAGCAGTGCCCTGGGCCCGCACCGCGCAAACAGGCGCCGCCTCCGTGGGTCCAGCCGCCGTCCCTTCGCCAGCGTAGCTCTTCCCGCAAAAGGCTGCTTCGTTCCTCCAACGCTGGGCGCCAGAATCCGCTCCCACATTCGTTTTCCAAACGCACCCTTCTCTCCACCGGCCCCTGGACCCTCCGGGAGCCTCCTGTCCGGCGGAAGCCACCACGGCAGCCCCTTCTGAGCGGCGGCCAGAGGGCGGGGCAGCCGGCCCTCCG